TATTACCCTCACCCCAAATACGACGCAATTTGAGGAGAAGAGTTAGAAAATCTTTAAATACAAATGTGGAATGAAAAATGCTCATGAGTTCACAACTTTGGAGGTGGTAGAGGAGTTTCCCTAAGTAAGGGACTGGATAAAAACTTCACAAACATGGAGCTTTGCTGGCCTAAAGACTTCTTGAGAAACTGTCTCTGAGGTTGGGCTCTTGAAATATATGTTATTGTCAGGAGCTTTAGCTTCCTTTGTAGTGAGACCATCAAAGCTGCGTCTGCATCCAAGTGACCTGGAGGACATGGTTTCTGATTTTCCAATTAACATGAGGCAGAAGTGCTGAATCCTCTTTTTGTAGTAATCTGTGGCACTGGGGGATAAGTGTCTCCCGTGGGGACTCTGAAGCCATTTGGTCATCCTCCACTTTTCCTTGTGTTTCTTGCTACTGCACTGGGAGTTTGGTATTTCCTTCACGAAAAAAATAACGAGTTCAACTGGGACACAGTGCTCGAGAAAGTTCTGTCACGTGTGGTGGGTGAGAGTCCTGAGAGAATGCACCAACCATGCTTCTATCCCACCGAGCTTGGCCCCTTGACCACAGCAACCTGATCCTGAACATTGCCCTGAAACCTCTCCATAGAACATGATGCCTTTACATATAAGGGTCTGCTGGCTGCACCATGTCAGTCAAAAGGCATTTGGAAGCCCATGGCAGATCCATATGGCCCCAGCACAGATGTTTTATCACACACTGGCACACCACTACTCTAGGCCCACTACTCAGCAGGCCACGCCTTACAGGCATCTCTGTTTAACATCATTTTCATGCAATCCAGTCAATCAAGGCACCTTTCTGGTACACTCATGATCATTAACAGGACATCCAAATATTCTCCAGTGCCACCTGGTCATGGGAATTTCAAAGATTGCATGGTATTTATCTAGCCATTTTTAAAGGATGAAGTTGGAGGCACTGTAGGTTTCCATTCATTCAGAAACCATTAAATGGTGAGAAAGATCATTTCAATGAAAGCTCTGGAGAATTCTCACAAACAAGGCTTCCCAAAGAGTGGCCAAAATGTCACTTGAAACCAGGCTCACTAAGGTCAATAATGTGAGGTCCATGTGTTTTTTGACTCTCAACTATGGCTGCCAGGTCTTTAAGAATAAAATCATGTGATATCCTGGCTGAGATTTCCAGTGTTCTGTGGAAAGTCACCTTAAGCTTTGATCTCAGTTTCCAAGGGGAACTCTCATGCGTGGCCTCCGAAAATCCCGACACAATTTATGGCAATACTTCTCTGAGGTCAGTTCCAGAACTCAGTCTTCAAGGGGAATCACACCAGAGTTCAAGCCCAGGCGGACCCAGTCATCTCTTCCACAGCCACACAAATGACCACAATTCAAACCAAAACACTGCCACAAGGCCCTCATCTTCTTCCATATAGACAATCGACATAACCTCTGGCTGGAGGTCTCCATGAGGGGCGCAGCCTAAGACAGTGTCCAAAATAAGCACCCTTGCCCCTCATTTGCCTAAAGTCAGTGTGGCTTGGACACCCTTCCTTTGAACCAGGAGTTATCAAATAGGCCTGCTTTTAATACTCCTCAGCTTCTCTACTTTGAGGCCTGCTGATGGTGGGGTATAGATTTTTTGTGTGAATTGGAGTCATGAGAAACCCCAAGCACATAATGGCTAGCCTCTTCAGGGCTAGGAAAAACTCATTTGACCCAAAGGATCCCTATTCTCACTTGATGGAGGTCAGGAACCTTACAGAGGAAGGCGAGAGACATCATCCACAATGACTGCTTTTTTGCCATATTGGCTTTTAATGCACATATGAAATTTTTCTTAAGATCTATCAGGTGCTGACAATCTTAGCCACAGCCTCACACAGGGCCAAGAGACTGATTCAAACACATCCTTTTGCAAAGCAATTAAGCAAAGAGCCACAGATGATGCCCATTCGTTTGCATTTGAAAACTGTTTTCTTCAGGCTTCACAAAGGGGTGTCCTGAGGCAAACACCTTCCTGGCATACAGGGAAACAGAACAATAGGTAAGCAAAAGGACCAAAGCAGAGTTTCTCCACTGAGACTTTACTAGGTGCACTGATATCTGAATTTTCTTAGATGCTCACCATTTTTTTCAGCTGTCCAGTACATGGCCATGTTACCAAGGTTGGTGGTGGTACATATCTTGGACACAAAACCATGAGCCTATTCTGGAGAGTGGCCAGAATTCAGGAAGAAAACAGGAATTTAGGAAGATAGTAGGTTTTGCCCATGGATAAGACAAGAAGCACTCCATTCATAAATTTGGCAGGATGAATGCTGGAATCTTTCTACTAGACAGGTCACATCCATTGATGCATTCTCTTTTCTAATGTCTACAACCACAGACACAGTTGGATACACAGACATAGCAACACTCGCCTTGTCAATACTTGCTAGAAACAGTCAATTCCAAACCAAACAAACCACCTTTCCTAGCTCTTCTCAGAACATGAGACAAAACCACAAACTCACACCCACACCCACAAAGCCACCTCCTTCCCCCAAGGAGGTCTGTGACGACTGGCAGTGTTTTCTGACTGGTGGGCCATACTATGTTCCCCCGAAATGGCCTGTCCTGTCTTAGATCTAGCCTCCTTGGCCAATTCTGTGAAGTTGTCAGGAGCCAGGGGTGAGCCACTACCTGCTTTATCAGGAAAGACCCCCTTCAGAGCCTCCTGGCAATTGGCCATCCTCACGTCTGTAGGTTCCAAGAAACACTGACTCTATCCTTGGTAAATCAAGTGAGACCACTGGGACTGGCACTGGGACTGCCTCTGGTTTCCTGGATTCCTGGATCCCAAGTTCAGAGAGTTCCATCACCAAGGAAGTGTGGTGAGGTCACTTCCTTCAGGAACTGAATGAGGTCACTTCCTTGGAAACAACTTTGTCCTAACTGTTGCTTCCAAGGGTCCCATGAGATGGAGGCTGCCTCTGCTTCCTGTGACACTTTCACAAGTTAGAATGGTATATCAACCATAGGCACCCAGAAAAAGCTCTCCACACAGGCCTGGTTTGGTCCATCTTGTCTACATTAAGAAGAGAGAGGCTCATTCAGACACATCCCTTCATCCTGACCTGAGGTTGTTTGCCATGGAAGATGACTTTTGCTCTCTCAGGTCCTTCCTAGCTGCCTACATCTTCTTTAGTGATCATTTCTGCATGGACCTTTGAGGTTCTCAGCAGGTGGAAGATCCCCTACATTCCTGTATTGTAAGACCAACTCTGTCCCTGCTCTTGTGTAAAGTTAGATTGAGGGAACAGTGAATGCTTGGGGTTAAGAACATGTTCCATTTGGGTTAGGAATCATTCTGCTGGATGAAGAATGGTATTGGGAACCTGTGATATTTATAATAATATAGAGGTGAAATATATGTATGAAAACAGAAATCTAAGTAAGATTTGAAGGCCAGAAGGGCATTGGGCCCTTGATTGGGATACTTAGCTTTGAATTACATTCTGTACAGATGTCTCCAATTAATCCATATACAATGGCACAGGACCTTGTACCTTGGATGATTCAATGTAGAAGAGAACATCCAGTCAAAAAAGGATACTAGGTAGGATTAGGAAGATAGTCAGTAGGTTTAGGAAGAAGAGTGAGTATGGAATTATACCAAAAGTTCTTTAGCAATAGGGTGTCTGTTAGAACAAAGTGAATGTAAATGTCAGCACATGTGAAGAGTCAGTCACAATGATGAACTGTGGAAAATATGTAGGAAAGCAGATATGAATATAGACATTAGGAATTCAGGCAAAGTATAAAGTGAGTGATAGGATTAGACATTTTTAACAGGGTTGAGGTTGAATATATAATCTTAGGCAGAAACAAATGTGTAGTCACCAATAGGATTGACATTTGAGAGCATTAGGCAACTTGGACAAAGATATTTTAAGTAATCCATGCTCACTTTCCAATTAGGCTTTGGTACAATCATAAGTGTGACCTTTGCATTTTGTGTCCAGAATATCACTGTGATAAAATCTATATGTAGATCAGGTTACATGAGTATTTCTTCCACCATTTTTGGGAGCAATATGTTGAAGACGTATAAATTAGAATTTGGGGGTACAAATAGGTGTACCCTGGGTCTATGAGTATAGAGATAATGCATGAATAGACCATACTGTAAATGAAGAATATAATGGTTCCAATTTAAATAATGGATTGAATTGATATCTGAAAATATATAGGAAATCTTACACTGATACAGGATCATTCATTCCAACCAGTTATACATCTAATGGTAATATTGGGGTTATGGTTTACCCTGAATGGTGTGTGAGTTTTGCTTCAAAATTGATTATGGAAATCCAAAATAATGTGTTTGGAAAGAAGTCTCATGAAAAGACCAGTCCAGAAACATGGAGGAATACATGTGTTCTGAAGCAGGATTTGATTGAAAGTGAACCAAATGCCTAGAAATTTGTGAGCTTGAGGATGAAATATATATCCTATGATGTGAATCAACTGAAGAAATAGTAATGTAGCAGTGTTGAATAAAAATGAATGTCAAAATACACATCATGTCTCACAGGAGTCTAATTGTATTGATGTTAAACAGGGTCAGTTACTGTAGAAATGTTAAGATTTCTATGCACCATTCACTGAAGTTAGTTTTCAGTACTAGGAAACAAATATGTGTTTCAGGTGGATGAATATTTCTGAGAATCATCTTGTGAAAAGTTGATTATAAATCCACATACAGGAACATGAATTTAGGGAGTGTAAAGTAAGACACATATATTTAATATTTTTAAAAATCTGGAGAGTGTGTGTGTATATATACATATATATATATTCACAAAACAAACACACACAGACACATTAAAAACTAGAAATATGTATGCCAATTGAAATTCATCATGAAATATATATCATCCATAGATCCAAAAATATTTATTTTACTGAACATGGATTTATGTATCATGTTGTTCAAGTAGGAAGCTTACCCACAGGTTGATTTTCAGTTCCAACAGCATTTAGGAGGAGTGATCTCTTCTCACAGTTTGTATCTACTAAGTCAGCCAACTCACAAGAATGTAGCAGGGAAACCAGGTAGGATTCTCTATGTGCATGTAAAAATACATGTGCTGAATAGGCTACAGAGAAAGGGAGACAGGAATTCACATATTTGTTAACTTTAAAAACACATAGAGAACTATTACATTGGAAAAGATTCATAACACCTACCCTTTATAATGTAAAAGGCCTGTCCAACTACACACCATGCCTCCTCTGAACTGCTTGTATTTCTATTCTTTTTGGTTTCTTTTTCTCCATTATATTAAGATTCGTAGTCAGAGTGTAGTAGGGTATGGGTTAGTGTCAGAGATTCAGTATTTGGAATGGAAAATAGGAAAATGAATTAAATGTGTATGCAAATATGTGCTACTCAAAAATCTTCCCACTGTCATCCAGAACAATGCCTTGACATTACCCTGTCTCCACGTAAGACGCAACTCGAGGAGAAGAGTTAGAAAATTTTTAAATACATATGTGGAATGAAAAATGTTCAGGAGTTCACAACTTTGGAGGTGGTAGAGGAGTTTCCATAAGTAAGGGACCGAATAAACCCTCCACAAACATTAAGCTCTTCTGGCCTAAAGACTTCTTGAGAAACTGCCTCTGAGGTTTGGCTCTTGAAATATATGTTTTTGTCAGGAGCTTTAGCTTCATTTGTAGTGAGACCATCAAAGCTGGGTGTGCATTTAAGTGACCTGGAGGACATGGTTTCTGATTTTCCAATGAACCTGAGGCAGAAGAGCTTAAATCTCTCTTTGTAGTTAAACTGTGGCCACTGGGGGCTAAGTGTCTCCCCGTGGGGACTGTGAAGCCATTTGGTCATCCTCCACTCTTCCTGGTGTTTCTTGCTGCTGCACTGGGAGTTTGGTATTTCCTTCACAAAATAAAAAGAGTTCAACTGGGACACAGTGCTGGAGGGAGTTCTGTCACGTGTGGTGGGTCAGGGTCCTAGGAGAATGCACCAACCATGCTTCTATCCCACAGAGCTTGGCCCCTTGACCATAGCAACCTGATTCTGAACATTGCCCTGAAACCTCTCCATATAACAAGATGCCTTTACATATAAGGGTCTGCTGGCTGCACCATGTCAGTCACAAGCCATTTGGAAGCCCATGGCACATCCACATAGCCCCACCATAGATGTTTTATCACACACCTGCACACCACTGCTCTAGGCCCACTACTCAGCAGGCCCCACCTTACTGGCATCTCTGTTCTAGGTCATTTTCATTCAACCCGGTTAATCAAGGCACCTGTCTGGTACACTCATGATCAGCAACAGGACATCCAAAGGTTCTCCAGTGCCACCTTTCAGCTATCCACCTGGACATAGGAATTTCAAAGATTGCATGGTATTTACCTAGCCATTTTTAAAGGATAAAGTTGGAGGCCCTGTGGGTTTCAATTCATTCAGGAACCATTCAATGGTGAGGAAGATCATTTCAATGAAAGCTCTGGAGAACTCCCACAAACAAGGCTTCCCGAAGAGTGGCTAAATTGTCACATAAAACTAGGCCTGCTGAGGTCAACAATGTGAGGTCCATGTGTGTTTTGACTCTCAACTGTGGCTGCCAGGTCTTTAAGAATTAAATTATGTGATATCCTGTCTGATATTACCAGTGTTCTGTGGAAAGTCACGCTAGGCTTCGATCTCAGTTTCCAGGAAGGGCTCTCATATGTGGCCTCGGAAAAGTACAACAAAATTCATGGCAATACTTCTCTGAGGTCAGTTCAAGAACTCAGTCTCCAAGGGGAATCACATTAGAGTTCAAGCCCAGGCGGACCCAGTCATCTCTTCCACAGCCAAACAAATGACCAAAATTCAAACTAAAAGACTGCCACAAGGCCCTCAACTTCTTCCTCATAACATCTGGATAGAGGTCTCCATGATGGGCGCAGCCTAAGACAGTGTTGACAATAAGCTTTCTTGCCCCTCATTTGCATAATGTCAGGGTAGCCTGCACACCTTCCTTTGAACCAGGAGTGATCAAATAGTCCTGCCTTTAATACTGCTCAGCTTCTCCAATTTGAGGCCTGCTGATGGTGGGGTATAGATTTTTTGTGTGAATTGGAGTCATGAGAAAACCCAAGCACATAATGGCTAGCCTCTGCAGGGCTTTGAAAAACTCATTTGACCCAAAGAATCCCTATTCTCACTTGATGGAGGTCAGGAACCTTACAGAGGAAGGCCACAGACTTCATTAACAATGACTGATTTTTTGCCATATTGGCTTTGGATGCACATATGGGATCTTTCTTGAGATCCATCAGGTGCTCACAATCTAAGCCACAGCCTCAAACAGGGCCAAGAGGCTGATTCAGACACATCCCTATGCAAAGCAATTAAGCAAAGAGCCACAGGTGATGCCCATTCGTTTGCATTTGAAAACTGTTTTCTTCAGGCTTCACAAAGTGGTGTCCTGAGGCATAAACCTTGCTGACATGCAGGGAAACAGAACAATAGGTAAGCAAAAGGCCCAAAGCAGGGTTTCTCCACTGAGACTTTATTGGGCCCTCTGATATCTGAGTTTTCTGAGATGCTCGCTATTCCTTTCAGCTATCCAGTACATGGCCATGTCACCAAGCTTGGAGGTGGTACATATTTTGGACACAAAACCATGAGCCTATTCGGAAGAGAGGCCAGAATTCAGAAAGAAAACAGGAAATTAGGAAGATAGTAGGTTTTGCCCATGGATAAGACAAGCCACAGTGCATTCATAAATTGGGCAGGATTAATGCTGGAAGCTTTCTACTAGACAGGTCACCTCCATTGATGCATTCTCTTTTCTAATGTCTACAACCACGGACACAGTGGGATACACAGACATAGCAACACTCGCCTTGTGAAAAGACTTCCTAGAAACAGTCCACTCCAAACCAAACAAACCGCCTTTCCTAGCTCTTCTAAGAACATGAGACAAAACCACAAACTCACACACACACCCACAAAGCCACCTCCTTCCCCCAAGGAGGTCTGTGACTACCCACAGTGTCCTCTTACTATTGGGCCATACTATGTTCTTCCAAAATGGCCTGGCCTGTCTCAGATCTTGCCTCCTTGGCCAATTCTGTGAAGTTGTCAGGAGCCAGGGGTGAGTCACTACCTCTTTTCTCAGAAAATACCCCCTTCAGAGCTTTCCTGGCAATTGGCCATCCTCACATCTGTAGGTACCAAGAAAGACTGACTCTGTCTTTGGTAAATTCAAAAAAGTTAGCCCACTGGGACTGGCACAGGGACTGCCTCTGTGTGCCTGGCATCCTGATTCCCAAGTTCAGAGAGTTGCATCACCAAGGAAGTGTGGTGAGGTCACTACCTTCAGGAACTGAATGAGGTCACTGCCTTAGAAACCACTTTGTCCTATCTGATGCTTCCAAGGTTCCCATAAGATGGAGGCTGCCCCTGCTTCCTGTGACACTTTCAAAAGTTAGAATGGTATATCAACCATAGGCACCCAGAAAATGCTCTCCACACAGGCCTGGTTTGGTCCATCGTGTCTGCATTAAGAAGAGAGAGGCTGATTAAGACACATTCCTTTATTCTGATCAGGTTGTTTGCCATGGAAGATGACTTTTGCTCTCTCAGGTCCTTCCTATCTGCCTACAACTTCTCCAGGGATCATTTCTGCATGGACCTTTGAGGTTCTCAGCACATGGAAGATCCCCTACATTCCTGTATTGTAAGACCAACTCTGTCCCTGCTCTTGTGTAAAGTTAGATTGAGGGAACAGTGTATGCTTGGGGTTAAGAACATGTTCGATTTGGGTTAGGAAGCATTCTGCTGGATGAAGAATGGTATTGGGAACCTGTGATATTTATAAAATTATAGAGGTGAAATATATGTATGAAAACAAAAATCTAAGTAAGATTTGAAGGCCAGAAGGGCATTGGGCCCTTGATTGGTATACTTAGCTTTGAATTACATTCTGTACAGATGATTCTGATAAATCTATATACAATAGCACAGGACCTTGTACCTTTGATGATTCAATGTAGAAGAGAACATCCTGTCAAAAAGGGATACTAGGTAGGATTAGGAAGATAGTCAGTAGGTTTAGGAATAAAAGTGAGTATGAAATGTTGACCAAAAGTTCTTTAGCAATAGAGTGTCTGTTAGAACAGAGTAAATGTAAATGTCAGCACATGTGAAGAGTCAGTCATAATGATGAACTGTGGAAAATATGTAGGAAAGCAGATATGAATATAGACATTAGAAAATCAGGCAAAGTATAAAGCATGGGATAGGATTAGACATTTTCAACAGTGTTGAGGTTGAATATATAATCTTAGGCAGAAAGAAATGTGTAGTCACCAATAGGATTGACATTTGAGAGCATTAGGCAACCTGGACAAAGATGCTTTGAGTAATCCATGCTCACTTTCCAATTAGGCTTTGGTACAATCATAAGTATGACCTTTGCATTTTGTGTCAAGAATATCACTGTGATAAAATGTATATGTAGATCAGGTGACATGAGTATTTCTTCCACCATTTTTGGGAGCAATATGTTGAAGACATATAAATTAGCATTCGGGGGTACAAAAAGGTGTACCCTGGGTCTATGAGTATAGAGATAATGCATGAATAGACATTACTGTGAATGAAGAATATAAATGGTTCCCATTTAAATAATGGATTAATTTGATATCTGAAAATATATAGAAAATCTTATACTGATACAGGATCATTCATTCCAACCAGTTATATATCTAATGGTAATATTGGGGTTATGGTATACCTGAATGGTTTGTGAGTTTTGCTTCAAAAGTGATTATGGAAATCCAAAATAATGTGTTTAGAAAGAAGTCTCATGAAAAGACCAGTCCAGCAACATAGAGGAATACAGGTGTTCTGAAGCAGGATTTGATTGAAAGTGAACCGAATGCCTAGAAATTTGTGAACTTGAGGATGAAATATATATCCTATGATGTTCATCAACTTAAGAAATAGTAATGTAGCAGTGTTGAACAAAAATGAATGTCCAAATATATATTATG